TGAAAGCCGCTGCAGTGTCTGACCACATAAGCATGACAGAGGAGGAAATGTATATTTTGTGAAGAAGCACTGAGAATGAGACCACAGGGAAATTTATAAACACATCTTTCTCTCTCAGTTTTGACCTTCTGCAGTTTTCTCCTCAGATTTTTTTTTAACTAAAATGGGCTTCAGGGTTTGTTAATCTGTAAATCTGACAATGGGGTAAATGGCTTAGTAACAATTACAAAAAGCTTTGCAGATTATGTTTTAATTCTATTGTCTCCTTGGTGCTATAATCTGTTGCATTAAATGTATTCAAATGGTAGAAGGTTACCACAGAAATCTGGTTATGATCTATGATATGACCTGCAATCTTCATAAAACCACACACCTATTTCTATATGTACTCTAGGAAAAACACATTGACTTGTAGCCTCCAATCCTAAGCCCAAAAAGCAGGAGAAAATCCAACTAAAGAAACTGAAATAGCTGAATATTGTTTTCCCTGAGATGCTCAGTGTGGCTCAAGCAAAAGAAGACTGAGAGACTATAAGAAAAAAACAGAATGGTAGAAGTTATTTGTGATAAATGATCATGTGAAATGTGAAAGTGGCGATATTAAAAGGCAGTCTCTTAAGCAAGACCCAGGAGAGACCGCTTCACAGTTCAGCTCGTTTATTAATTCAGGAGCAGATGTCTGCGAGGAGGGCTCAGACAGACAGAGCAGGCGGCAGAGAGACGAGTCACTGGGCGAGAGGTAGATTAATCCAGGTAAGTTGGTACGCAGATATTCTGCAGACAAAGTCCAAAGGTGAGCTTGCAGAGAATAAGAGAGAGCTTACTCACTATGCGCGGGGGGCAGGCTGTGGGAGGGCCAGTTGTTTGCTTTGTGACTGCAGCTGAGGTCATGGGTTGCTGGGTGGGCAAGTGGAGGTCGTGCGTTTTTCAATGAGGGATTCCAGAAGGAATGGACCAGCTCATCAAGGACAGGGAAATGGATCTGAGGATTGAGCCGCTCCTCAGCCACGGCGAGAACATTGTAAAGTGGAGAGACAAGGACATTAAACTCAGGAGCTTAAAGACCACAGGTGAGCCACATTGAGGGATCAGGAGAGCCTGTTTACCACTCTGGTGATGCAGACAATGTTGATGAGGCAGATGTGGAGCAGGTGAACTTGCTGAAGAGCAGGAGCACAGGACAACACCCAGAGAAGGAGCATGGCTGCTCAACCCAACCAAGCCTAGCATGACAAGGAGCTGGAACACCAAAACATCCCAAAAGTGTTTAGTTCAAATTCTAAGCATTTTAACTTTCTTTGTGTGTGTTTCTAAGACTGCTAGGACTTTGTGTCTCAAGACTGTGGGTGTAAACTAATTTTCAGGTAAGAAAAATGTTGCTGACAGAGCTGTCCAAATAAAAAGCTCTTACACACAGTTTGCACACAGATTTGTTTGTGTCCAGTGTTTTTAGGATTTCAGTGTGGATGCATTTCAGTTTTAAAATTATATCAAAGGTTTATCAAACAGCTTCTTGGCAGCTACATAGATCCACAAACAGTGAACATAACTAACGGTTTTATCTGGCGCACAATAAATGTGGTGACTCTGGTCACGTTGAGTTCTCCAGGCTGGCGTCTCTTGTGCCAAGAATTCAGAGCTACTTTGTTTATATACTGGGCAGTTCACAGTACAATCATCTCAAGGGGCTTGAGATGATTGTACAGTATTAGAGGAGCCCAACCATCACTCAGTCCTCTATAACAGGAAAAGTTCTTTGGCAGAACCAGGATCAGGGAGGAGTGCCATCTGCCTCGATTGGTTGGGGGTGATGGGCGGGGGGAAAACAGAAAAGAGGAACACAGAGAGACTGGGAACAAACCGAGAACAGACAAAAGTTTTCAGTGGTTTAGTGGGTAAATCGTAGCTGCATGGAAAAAAAACATGACAATGATAAAAAGAGAGACAGAAAAGAGCATATGAGGTCTTGAATAATCAAGCCTGTCTTATCTTAATGACCTTATAGTACCATATCACCCCATTAGGGCACTTTGCTCTCACACTGCAGGATTACTGCTTACCACCCATTATGTGTTTATTTATTACTCATTATTAATCTCTGCTTTTCTTCCACAGCATGTCTTTTGTCCGGTCTTCCTCACGGCACCTCCAACCGGTCGAAGCAGATGGCCGCCCCTCCCTGAGCCTGATCCTGCTGAAGGTTTCTTCCTGTTAAAAGGGAGTTTTTCCTTCCCACTGTCGCCACAGCACTTGCTCAAAGACAGTCATAGTCGCTTGGGTTTTCTCTGTTTTCTTTGTGTTACTGTAGGGTCTTTACCTTACAAAATAAAGCACCTCGGGGCAACTGCTTTGGTGCTGTATAAATAAAATTGAATTGAACTGAAATGCTGCAGTAGAGTGCAGTAAGTACACATGCATGCTTCAGGCAGTTTTTTCAAGTCTCGAAGCTGGCTTGAAAAAACTGCACTAATCCACAGTGTTTACATATCCATGTGAGTCCCTCCAAGCAAGAATAATCCTTTTCATGAATGTTTTTGGAGTAAAGTCATCCTCACTTGGATCCTGGGTCTTGAGATTTGGGGTATGATTAAGGACTTTGTAGTTTGTATTTTCTTTATCTTTTATGTTGTATTTTGTTTTTTATTCCACATTTCTTATTTAAAATTAACCTCTGCCCCACCCTTATTGTCAATAATTATTACCATATTTTTCAGACCATAAGGCACACTGTCGATCAACGGGTCTGTTTTCATACATAAGACACACCAGATTATAAGGCGCACTAAGGGAAACAAAACAGTCAAATACGTCAAATTTTACTCAACTCATTCTTCTTGCTTCCTCCACGTCCGTACCATTGATTCATTAATGTTGAATTCTCTCGCAGCTGCTCTATTCCCATGTTGTTGCAGTATATTAATGACTAACCTCATATTGTGGATGGATGATCTCAGTTGTTCTCCTGACTTAACCTTGGTCCATTTCCAGCATCCCGACATGCAATTGCATTTGTCCATCCTAACCATCGGGAACCCTCACGTTAACTTTTATCAAGTGAAAAAAAGTTAGGGTTCATCCTCCAGCTTCACTGTGTTTATGTTATGCTAACATAGCTGTGTCGCTAACAATCACATAGCACATCATTATATACCAGCTAGTCCAACTTCAGTAACCCTACAAAAGTCACTGCTGTTTAGTTTTCTGTCTTCATTTATGTTGGAAGAGATGGCAGAGCTGTACGTTTTAATTTTTTCAGAAATCTCTCAGTCAGAACATGCTATGTCATGTTTAGGTAGAAAGTAGCGAGCTAACTTCCTGCTAACTTCTAACCCAGACATCCTTTGATGGCTCTTTGATATAGCCCATGAGGTGGAGACATCAAAGAAATTGATTATGTTAAGTGTACTTTATACATAAAGCAAGTATCTGTAACTGATCGACTGATTGCTTGATTGTAATCACCTGTAATCTATGGGTGGATGGTTGGGGATCCAGTACTTATTTCACTCAATGATGCCAAAATCAATTTCTGACTTTATGGTAATGTTTTTATTCTGGATTTTTGTTGCCTCCATAAAAAACGAATAAACCATAAAATTTAGAGACTGTTCATTTCTTTCTATGTGAGCAATAATTATTCCCCAAATGTAGATTAGACCTCAAAAAAAAAAGCTAAATTTGAATCCAGCCTTTGCGTGGTGGAGTACATGAATGCCTCCCCAAGCCCAGTGAAG